CACTGGTTGCCTCTGCAGAACAGGCAACCTGGGAGGTATTTGTGGGCGTAGACAAAGAGATGCACACACACAAATAGAAGCCTTGAAGTATGATAAAATTTAAAGTGTGCCTGAGTGTGTATGATCATCTCTGCCTCTCCATGCATGGGGTGAGATGTAATATCTATACATACACACACATTTCTATGCATGTATATCTATGTCGATAACTGTACCTCTATCTTCTCTGTACTTCTAATCTTATCTCTATCTATATCTATATAAATACTCAAATGCTTAATAGCTATATATGAATGTATTTATATTTAATGTAAATTAAATATATGAGGGTAGCCATATCTCTGTGTGAGCTCATTTTGTCTCTTTCTCTGAATATACCTGTATATGAACAAATAAATACTGTCTATTGCCTGTGTGTGCATGGGCGAGCCTGCAACACATGCCTCATACACAGAAACCCATAGCTAACCTCACGTGTGTTCCCTGAACCCTGGGTAAGGGTGGTGCAGCAACACATACGCTCCATGGTCATCTTGGTGCTCTTGTGCAGCAGCAGGCACTGGGCTGCAGGAGGGTCCAGCACAGGCTGCAGTGCAGGACATGGCCAACCCCAAACTCACCTGGGTGCCATGGCCCAGGCACACTCCCGGCTTTCCCACCTCCACGTCTCTGTGCTGCTTCCCATGCACCAGGTTTTGATGCTATGCCCCAGCCCTGCAGCACAGACATGGTTGTGATTCCACTCGCAGAGGCCAGATCCCACCACTCTGCCTGTTCAGGGCACTGGTGGTAACTGTTGCCCTTGATGTGGGCTGAGGAACCAGCCCCTGTCCTCGCAGCAGCAGCTCCATCCTCATTTCATTCCCTTTGCTTGGCCAGGACATGGGCAGAGCTCCTCCAGCCAAAGCAGCAGGAGGGAGGTGCAGAGATAAAACCATCCCCTTCCCCCAGAACATCAGTTATTCCTCCCCCAGCTCAGCATGCTCCACCATAGGACTGTATCTACAGCAAACACTTTAGCTGGAGAGGCGAAGAAGGTCCGAGCCTTTCAAACTGATGCAGAGGAACGCAATACCACCGGCATGCATTGCTATGGCAGAGTAGTGATTTGAAATTGATGTGAACAGCAAAAGCCCAGTCAAGTGAGAGAAGTGTGTGGGACAAAGCCATAAAATAGGTATAGAGCACAAAGACTGTGAGCAAGCTCTTGAAATAACTGGCCTCATTTCTGTTTTCCATCTTCCTGCAGGCACAGGAGTAGTGAGCTCAGCCTTGTGAGTGCAAACAGCAGGTCATGCCCAGCATCTAGAAATTAAAGGCTTAACCCTGACTAGGCTGGACCAAGGAAAGGTCCTTACCTGGCTCTAAGGCAGCCAAGGCCTCACTTCTTCCTTAACTGGTGAGGCCAGGAAGGGCGCAGCCTGCTCTTCACAACCTCTCCAAGAGGAGGGGAGCAAGAATCACATCTGGAAGACAGAGAGGTAATAGCAAGGAGGAAGCACAAACATCCTTCTATTAGCAGGCACTGGGATGCTGAAATGGTGACGAGACAGAGGAAAGAGGCATGTTAGTGGAGGAAAACAAAAGAGAGTCAGAAACAGGAGTAAACAAGAAGGTTTGTTCTTGTTAAGTTTATTGGCATCATGTTTGTCTCTTTACATAAGAGCTCAGCCTACGTACTAGAATGTAGACCTCTGGAAAACAGGTAGAAGGGCTCCATTTAAGCAAGCTACAAACGCAAGAACAAATACCAGGAAGAAAGGAAGAGGAAAGGGACTAGATTGCCAAATTTTTCCATACCAAAAATCCAGATTAGCAGTCAGTAAGAAGAAAGGGAAGATTCAGTGTCCAGGTCGTTCATCAAGAAACAGCTACCACAGCCCCGGTGGGAGAGGTGCTTCACCCACAGCACCCAGAGCCCCCGGGACACCTCAGCTCTGGCTCCTTCTCACACTCGCTCCAGGATGTTAGGAGTTAAGCAGTGGGGAGGTGAACAAATGAGGTCATTTCATAGCTGTATTTAATTTTAAATCCAATAATCCAGTGTGCATATCAACGCTGTGCTGCAAATCTGAGAATTTAGATACAAGGAAGCCAGACGGATTTTCCAGAAGATGAAGCCTTCTGGGCCTCAGGACAAGGAGGCTTTCCCTAGCTCAGCTCTGCTGTACAGAATACTGCCTCTCTGGACTGTGTCACTACCATGCTGCAGTTCACAAGTGTCCTCCTCACTTTCTACACAATCTGTGTTTCAGTACTTGAACATGTAAATTCAGGAATTTTATACTAATTTATACATTTTTAATTGGTTGCATATATTAACATGTACTATAAGATTTTTCCTAAAGAAGCATTACATAACACATGGATACTGTAAAAAGATCTGATTAGTTAAAAGTAACAAGCATTAACAGAGATACATACAAAACTCAACCTAGTTGGACTGAGTGCTGAGCTTGCGATGAACTACAGGTAACCAGCCTTTCCAGTTGCAGCCTTCACAGGGGAAAACACCAGACAGTTAAAAATGTATGAACTTTTTACACAGATTACCTGTAAACAGTTTCTCTCCCTTGGACACCTGGAATTCAATTCAGTTCCAAACATACATAAGAGTTTCCATTTTAAACTAAGAGAAAGGTCTGTTACCATGAAGTGTGATGGGATGTGTGGGGGGTGAGCTCTGGGGTGCGGGGCTCACAGATGCTCATGGGAGATGGGGGGGTTTTGGCAGCTGGAGATGGAGATATCTTTAATTTCGTTTTAAACACAGGAGAGGGGCTGTGTGTTTGAAGGCCTAAGTGTGATATTCGTTTGTGAAGGACTGTGCTCAACCCCTGCCTCTCCCCTCAGCAGCTGCAGCTCTCCGCAGAAGCCTTCACTCGGTCGTTCTTGTCTAGTTTGATAGGTTCAGGGAATTCATTGTAAAGCTCCACTTCGGTTTCCTAATGGGGGAGAAGGGAGGAGTTGGTGCCACAGCTCCGCAGGCAGCTCCTGGCATGCATGGAGCCATTCTCAGCTGGGAAAGCTACTGGCAAGCAGCAGAGCCCAGTGGGCAGGTCCAGCATAGGGAGCCCACCAGCCCCCTCCTTACCTGTTTAAGTGCGTTTCGTGCAATCGTCTGGAAAGCCTGTTCCACATTAATGGCCTCCTTGGCACTGGTTTCAAAGTAGGGGATGTTGTTTTTACTGTAGCACCAGGCTTGTGCCCGTTTTGTGGTGACCTGGGTGGACAGAGAGCATCATCACCACCTTCAGCTATGCAGGAAAGGGAGTTTATTCCCAGGGCAAGGCCAGAGCCCCCTCATATCCACCTGAACCAAGGCAGCAGTTTGGCCTCATCAGGACTACAGCCTTGATACAGAGCACAGGAGGCCACTGCCCACCACCAGACACACTCACCCCCATGACAAGGAGCATCACGCCTGAGGAAGGCCACATTGGCACAGGCTGCTCAGGTATGACCAGAGCAGGGACTTGCTCCCATAGGGGTTTAATCAGCCCTTCTGGAGGAGGAGAATCAGCTCCTGTCCTGGCATCTACCCAGGAAGCTACTGCAATTCTTCCACCAGTGGGCAGGAGCGTGCTGTGCACAGGGTTTGACCTCTCCAGCCAGGAGAGACTTCCCTGGTGCCACAGAGCAGCTGAGCCACACTCAGGCGCCTCCCACTCCCTTTCTCAGATAACCCCCAGTGCTCCTGCCAGGTCTCTGGCTCCAGCACCTTCCTCGGAGGCCCCTCAGTCCCAGCACTCACTTGTCTGTTTTCTAGGTCAATCTTGTTTCCCAGCACAACAAAAGGAAAGTTCTCAGGATCCCTCGGGCTGGCCTGGATGAGGAACTCGTCCCTCCAGCTGTCGAGGGTTTTGAACGTGTTGGGGGCCGTGACATCAAACACCAGCACGCAGCAGTCTGCTCCCCTGTAGAAGGCAACTCCCAGAGACTGAAATCGTTCTTGTCCTGCTGTATCCCAGATCTGGAGTGAAAGACAGGGCAGATAAGCCAGCTCTGCTCTGACACAGTCAGTCCACAGTTGGGGCAGTCATTGCAAAACTCCCCACCAGCCATGTACAGCTCCTAGCTAGCCAGAGGCAAGCTCCCAAAGGCCTGGGAATTTCTGGAGGCACTAAGAATCAAGAGCCAGAAGCACTACTCTAAAGATAGGTGTTTAACACCCTTTTTGTGTCCAGCCTTAGCAAGGTAAATAACCTTGCTCTGGGCAAGCAGGATGTAGGTATTAGGGTTAGCAGGTGACCTGCCTGCAGTGCTTGGGTGCACTTGGGCACCAGCACAGCCCAAACACTCCTCTGGTGGCTGCAACAGGGCTTCTGCTGCCTCACAGTGAGTCTCACCACAGAGAGGTAAAAGCTTCAGATACCAGAGACATAAGCAGACTGGCAGGTTGACACTATACCCAAAGGACTCAGGGCAGCATGAATTGTTGACCTAAGGAGTCCTTTCCCAGCCCTTTCCACCAGGGAAGTGAATTTCTCTAACAAAATCTAGTTTACTGACAGTACCAAATGCTGCTTTTTTAAACTGAGCCTGGCAAAGCTGCTCTCAGCTGAGCCCAAACTGATCTTTGCCTTCCCTTGTTCAGGCCATGCACAGATCTGTAGAGAAGCCCAGCGGAGTTCAGTGCAAACAAGATTCCCACCCTGGACACTGACCCCTGCACTGCTTGGGGCTGCACTGGAGTAGCCGTCTGTGCAGCCAGGCACCCCTTGCAGCAGGGAGCAGGGTCTCTCCTTACCTGCATTGTCACTAGCCTGTCATCCACCATCACCTCTTTTGTGAGGAAATCTGCACCTATCGTGGCCTTGTACTGGTTACTGAATTTCTTGTTCACATACTGGTTCATGAGTGATGTCTTCCCCACCCTGTACAGAAAGACGAAAGAGACCGTGTAGGCTGTTTCTACAGCAATGCCCGAATTAACCACCCCAAACAGAACATCCCAAGCCCTTTGCTTTCCACCACAGCCTCCTGGCCCTTTGGACAGGGAAATACACCCTCCAAGAAGGGGCTTTTACAGCAATAGATGCTGAGGCTACATGCTGAGTAAGAGCATCAGGTACCTAAGGTCACAAGGGATTACCATCTTAAGAAACCTTGTTTGCCCATTAGCAACGTGACCCTTGGTAAGAAGCACACGTCCCATCATGATCACGGGGGAAGTTTTGGAAGAAGATGAAGTGCCCCAGAGAAACCCACCAGAAACAGCCACTTTCAGCCTCTGCACGAGGAGGAGGTGGAGGAACAGCATCTCAGCTGGGGACAGCTCAATACACATCTGCCAGGCAGCCAGAGGTGGAGATCCCCCCAGAGAGCCAGCTTTGGGGCTCACCTCCCCTCTCTGGCTGAGGAACACTCCCTGATCAACAGCCTGCGGGGCACACTGGTATAAATAAGCTTCATGTCATGGAGTCAGGTTGCAGCCTGCACAGCCAGTAACCTACAACAGGGAGCAGCCTCCCTGCTCACAGCACACAGCAAAGCTGCTCACTCCAAGGGGCCAGGTCACACAGGAGCTGAGCAGATGGCTCCATATAAACTATGTTTGACAGAGGCAGGTTTGGAGATTGCTGACAGCAGTTTTGGATTGCTTTTTCTTTAAGTGAAATGCTGCTTTCAACCCCACACATGCTCCTTGCAGAAAGGCTATCCTGTCTGCTCTCCAGTTCTGCTGCTGGAGAGGTCTGTCCCCTGCATTTCCCCGTTCAATATTGTGGCAGGACTTCAAGCTATTAAACTGCAGGGACACATTCAGGACAGAGGGCAGTGACGAGTTCTGAAAGCTGTAAGGTAGGCACAGCCACCTGGGGCTAAACGACCTCCTCCCCAGGCAATGCTGGTCTCTTACAGCACATTCATCCAGACTCCCCCTTGTCAAGAGCCAGACACAGACTGGCAAGTTAAAGGCTCCTCCACTTACCCGGAGTCCCCAAGGATGATGACTTTCAGTAACACTTTCTTCCTAGAAGTCATCTTTTACACTGGAAAGGAAGAGGAACAGTCCCATCAGACACCATCAGCATGTCATTCCTCCAGGCAGAGAGCACCGGGTTTGAAGTCTGGGAAACCCAGCTCCCAGCCAGGAACCAGCAGCTCCTGAAACCAGGCTCATCAGTTCAAGGCTACACTTGGGCTCTAACCATGTGATTGCCCATTTCATAGGCAGGGCCATGTCCAACCAGTAGCAGCAGGTGAATAGCAACAGGTAAATGAGCCAAGCACTTGCCCTTTACAGTACCGAGTGTATTTGGGACCCTATTTCCAGGCTGTTGTGTGGGTTTACCAGCCTAGGCCACCTCCCTTAGCTTTGCTGGAGGTAGAGCACACACCAGCTCCCAACACATGCTAGTTCTTACACAGGCTACTAAGTGAGATGTAAGCAGAGACACGTTTAATACCACACTCAAGCTTTTTTGTGCTGTTCAGTAGTTTCCTAGCAGAAAACGAGGAAAAAAAGAAAGGGTTTTCCTCCACCTCCTGGTTCGGCTGAGAAGCAGCACCTTTCTGTGGCAGCTGTGCTTTGTGAAGGCACTGAGGCCCAACTCTGGTTGAAGGGCTCACACAAGCACACAGACCCACTTGAACACCTGAACTGCAAGTGCTACCAGACACCGAGGCTTTGCTGAGAGCCTATGAAGTGAACTAGTGCCACCTCACCTCTCGTGGAAGACAAGTCAGGCTACAGTGGCAAACCTCACAACAGTCCATCTATTGCTCTGTTGGACCATGAGGTGTTGCTCACATTGTCCTTCAGTGGATGTCAACAGACACCAGAGAGCCTGCACAGGACAGCTGCTGCAGGCAGGAACACCTCTCCTTCCCAACATTCCATGATCCCCCTGGTCCGGGGTCCCCTTGGACCAGGCCTGGACAAGAAGAGCAGCTCAAAGAGGTCACAGCCGCGATAAACACCCCATTTAATCTGCTTCTGCTCTTGCCAAGACCCCCACACTACAGCTTGTCTCCTCTATGGCCATGGGGAGAACAGACCATGTAAACTCCCCCAAGCAGACTGCACCTCCTGTGTTTCCAAAGCACACAGCACAAGTGCGACTTGTGACAGCCAAGCCAGAGACTTCTGCAGCACTATCAGCTCAGATGGAGCAAGCAGCAAGTGAGCACAGCTTTGAAACAGCCAGAAAACAGCTGTGTGCACTGAACTGCGAGGAACACATCTGTACAGGTTCAGGTCCAGTGTGAGAGTTCCCGTTTTACTCAGAACAGAGGAAAACAACTCACCCTGAAGAGACTGTCCCAGAACCCAGCACATGCTGCTTCTATTTTCTCCACGTGTTCACAGTATCACTTGCCACTGGCTGCTGCAGCTCACCATTTCCTGGTATTCCAAGCAGCTTTGGACACGCTGGCATCAGTTCTCATGCTCGGGGAGGGATTTGCAGAGCCCTAAGTTACAACACTAAATCACGCTGCATGCTTAGCACCAAAGTTCAGCAGAGCCTGAAGTCCCCCTGTGAAGGGAGGAGAAACTGCTGTGTCAAGTCTCATTACGTGGGAAGCAGCTCAGGTGAGCAGGCACCTGCAGACAGGGAGGAAGCAGAGTCAGAGCTGACACTGCCTCTTGTCATCACTGACCCACCCCATGGGCATGAGGGCTATTACCACCTCATCACCACTGGTCAGGTGAGACAGAGCTTCCACGCCAGTGATGCAACGGATGTGAGCCATGGCACAGGAGCGGCTGCCTCAGCTTGGCATTTGGTTTGGACCACGAGACATGAGAACTCCAGAGGCCAGCAGCAGACACTGCCCAGAGGTTCCACTCCTGTTCTACTAGGCTTGGTCAATGCTGCTTTGAAGCCCAAGGAGATTACAGCTTTAGCTCACAGAGCAAGTCTGAATACCTGGAGGAACAGTTAGTTCACATGGGCAGTTTCTCCACTCACACCTGCAAGAAACACTACTGAGCTACACTGAGCTGGAGGATGTGCAGGGTTCCCCCATGCTGAGAGCAAGCTCAGCCTGAGTCGAGATGAAAACTGTGATAGTGCTGAGTCAGTGCATCCAGGACTATTTTGCACTCTACATACAGCTTGTCTTGCTTTATACTTGCGATGACTCCTCCAGAGCAGCATCCTGCAAGAGCCTCACAAGCCCTTAAGATGGCAGTGTGCTCACTCGGGGCCCACAGCCAGCCCCAGAGCAGCGCTGAGCAAACACTTCCTCCTGCAGAGATACCGTGAAGAAAAACCTGTTTGTTAAGATGGGATCCAAGGCATCAGTTCTGGTTTACACTGTGTGAAGTCTCCTGGAGCGGGGTCACCTGCATGGCTGCTCAGACTCAGCCCACCCTGCCCCGGAGCCAGCAGAACCTTTCCAGCAACCAGGACACTGGTCAGCACCATTCCTCCTCCTGGCTTAACTGGTGCCAAAGGAATGACACAGCTGCCTCTGAGAGGAGACCTTCTATTCAATGTTTAATGCCTATCCCTATCAGCAAGCAAGCCATGAACACTATGTTGACCCTCATAAGATTAAACCTGGGACAACATGCTCAATCCCACCTTGGGGCAGCAAGGAGAACCCCTCACATCTGACCCCCAAGTGTTACTGGATTACTGGTCCAAAAGGAAGAGTCAAACTGTCCCATGAAGCTCCATATTGTTCCAGCTCCTCAGAAGAAGAGGAAATAAAGCCTATGCCAAATCTCATTAGGCTTCTCCCTTGTTGCTTCAGAGTACACTGCAGCTGCCATTTCACTTGCTGTATTTGGTCAGCTGCTTTGACTCAAAGCAGAAATGCTGGGCAGGGGCTGCCTTGGGGACGTGCACGTGTGTCAGGTCACAATGCAAACATTCTAATATTTATTACATTGGTCCAAGCAAAGAAGAGCAGGAGTGTGCACTGATGAGACCCACCAGGTCTCTCAGATGAGCCATCCTAGGAACACCCTGGTAAGGTGCTCATGGACCATTTTAGCATGGGACTAGCCAGGCTTGGGAGGAATCTCACCTCCATGGAAGCAGCATGCTCCCCGGGCCACCCCCTGGGACCCTGCTGGCCCACTGCTGGAGCAGTCCTTGCTCTTGCAGCTTTGCAGTTGAACAGTTCAAGTCACGATTCTAACCAAGGACCAAAGCATGTTTATGCAGAGGCTGAAAGAACTGGGACATTGACCATGACTTCTCTGCTCCTGCATCTACCAGATGCTATTTGCACCCTCTGCTAGGAACCTGCTGAGCTCTGAAGCGAGGCTGTTGGCTGCACCTCTCACCTCCTGTGCCCTGCAGGGTATTAACAGCAGGCTGACAGGGCACAGAGCAGTAGGTAAGCAAGCACCAGGCAGAGCTGAACTCACTGTGGCACACGGAACACCCAGCTCTGCTCCCCTGGCCCAGCAAGCAGCACAAGGGTAAGGAGGTGTTCCACAAAAAGGCACATCTGGATGTGAAGCACTGCAAGTCTGCTCTGGGTGCTGTGGATAAGCAGAACATTCACTTCTCCACTACATTACAGGAGCTTTTAGCAACCCCCAGCCATGAGAAAGCCAATATGGATAGAGCAGTACCCCAGCAGGGGACACCAGGCACTGCAGTGGGCTCACCAGTGACCAGCCTGAGCAAAGACAGCCACACTTGAACATGGGGAGAACTTTCTGTCCCAAAATACAGCTCTGTGTGTTTCTGACAGCAAAACACCACATCTGCTCACTGTTCTCTCACATGGGGGAGGCTGCAAAACACTCAGTCTCTGTACTACACCAAAGTGCTATTTTTAACCTCCCCCCTCCAATGGTTCTGCATTTCTTCAAGGAAACCGAAGCTGGAAGAATGATTCAGACCCAGCTCAGTCCAATTAAACCAGTTCCTTCCCCAAAGCAGCAAGTTCCCCGGCACGTTTGGCACCTCAGGGGGTTGTGTCTGCTTAGACTTGCAGCCACTGAAGTGAAAGGCCACTGGGCATGTACGCTGTTCAGGACCACCAACAGAGAGGCACATCTCACTTGCCCTGCGGTCACCATGATTCAGCAAGCCAAGCTTAGCCGAGGCTCGGAGCAGACACACAAATTTGCCCCAGTCTAGCTTCCCTGAAAACGCCTCATCCCGAGGAAGCACAGTCTGTGATCCCCAGGAGCTGACCAGGATCACTGCTCCCACTTGCACTGTCCAAGTGCCCAGCAGCCTGTGTTGAAGCCTCAACTTCCAACTGCAGCAGGAGCTCAAGGTGGAGCTGGACACATTTTACCCATACAATTCGGCAGCAGCAGCTTGGTTCCTGGTCACACAGCCATTGCTAACAGGGTGTCTGCTAACACACAGCTACAAGTGACAGCCTGGGCAGTTCAACACGAATGCCTACCTGAGACCAGCAGCTATCAACCAGAAACATCCCCCACCTGCATCCTCCTGTGGGTGACAACAGCCCACAAGCAGAGCAGAGCCCTGTCCCTTCAGGTGGGAAGGAGCTGAGCACTAGCCAGAGGACCATCAGCAGGGCTGGTACTTTCACATGAACACGGCTTAAGAGGGGCCAGGCTGCCTTTAAGGAAGAAGCCAAAAATAAACCTGCCTTTGATTATTTTTGACTCCTTACCAAACCCGAGTGCTCTACCAGCAGAACAAGCACACAGCATCCCCACACTGACTGCTCCAGACACACACAGTTTTAGCAGCAGGCTGCCCTGCACTGACAGGGCTGCACCAGCAGGACACTGCCCCACACTCCCATGGCAGCTCCAGCAGCAGCTCAGCTTTCCCAGCTGGCTAGAAGATCCCAGCTAGGGAAACCTCACATTCACTGGGGACATGTGCTGGCTTTGGACCTAACAAGCAGATCAGGAGCATCCTGCCATTTGGGTTGACAACTTGCAAGAACTGCTCTCAGTAAGTGGGCTGCTTTTTAGGGCAATGGGCTGCCCCAGTCCCTGCAGCCAAAGGAGGGTTAGAGGCACTTCAGGCCCCACTGAAGCACCAGAGAGCAGAGGCAAACCAAACCCGCACCAGCAGCAGCTGGCAAGACACTCTGTG